TTGCTGAAGCAGCGGTTCGTTCGACAAAATATCATCTTAGGCGCTTGATGCAAATGACTCACTTTACATATGAGGAACTTACCACTTGTCTAACTCAAATTGAAGCCGTTTTGAATTCCCGTCCACTCGCCCCTCTCTCATCTGATCCCACTGACCTATCTGCTCTTACTCCTTCCCATTTCTTAATCGGACGATCTCTTTTATCTGTACCTTATCCACAGGTGACAAACATGAAGGTCGAGCAATTGCAACGTTACGAAAGAATCAATTATATGAAGCAACATTTTTGGAAGCGATTTTCTAAAGAATACGTCTCTTTACTTCAAACTAAGACTAAATGGTTCCATTCAACAGGAAATCTATCTGTGGGGACTCTTGTACTATTGAAGGAAGCAGGTCAACCTCCCCTACTGTGGCCATTGGGACGAGTCACCAAAATTTACCCTGGCGTCGATGGCGGTTCAAGAGTGGCAGAACTGAAGATGAAAGGGAGAACTGTTCTGCGAAGCTACAAAAACATCTGTCCGCTTCCCTTCGACTAGAATCTTCTTACCACTCTTACATCATGACTCTTGCCTTACAACCACTTTCGTCTGCTTATCCACAGCCATCACTCTGCTTCTTTGAACAAAGATGTTCAACCCGGGGAGGATGTTCGCGCCTGAGGTGCGGGCAACACCACTACCGGTGCGAACCGACGTGCGGTGGCACGAAACGTCACTTGGACTTCCGCTTTCGACCGCCGACGCATACGCGCAACGATCAATTTGTCTATTTGCAACTCTGTATTTATCGCTTATTAAACCATTACAACCAAATACTTGTGTTTGGCCTAAACAAATGCTTTTCTTTGGCCCACTTTTGCCTATCATATTACAGATTCCATAAAAAAACATACATACAAACCTTGTAAATAAATTTCATTAGACATTCTCTGTGCAAAGTTTTATCGCGGTCGCTCAGGTGACAAAATAAACAAACCAAGTTGTTCTTGGACATGGGGCCACATTATTCATGTTTATCACGCCGGTCCGGCCGAGCGACGCTGCAATTAGAGGATTTTCCCCGCCCACATCGATCATCCTGCTTACCGGAAAATACAAGAAAAAAGTATTTTCACGTTGACTAAAAAAATAATGGTTGTAAACTCTTGTTACAAATAATCTGTATTCATCAAATGTTAAATTTCATATTTACATTGTCCTCATATTGTCAAAACATGATATTTTCACATTTTATTGACACTTTATCTACTGAGAAACATTTTAAGGAAATGCTTTTTATCATTACAATGCATAAAAAATAAAAAAGTTAGTAACATTAAACTTTCACATCAAACGTCAAAACTAATTGAACTTTTAAATGAAAACAAACAATTTCATTTAAATCTGCTCTTTCACTTGCTTCTTCGTACGAATGTTTTACTTTATTTGCGCTATTGAGCATTTAAAGGCCCTTCACAATATTACTCTTGGGTACCCTTATCATTTGACATCAAAGAATCGTGTATAGGGTGATGGATAAAGCTAGTGTCGGTTGGTTCGACACGTGGCTACATAGATAACGTTGCAAGATTCACCATTGGTGAGACTCAAGGGACTTATTTTAGTTTTGTATTTAATCAGCCACCCTTCTAAGTAATCCACCACGCGTTAAACTAGACATCAAATTATGTTCCACATGTAACGTTGTAAAAGTATTTGACGCAGGAGTATATATGTACCTAAGTACTCAAGCATTTTGAGTACGTTGAAGTATTAAAGATGAAAGTAGAGAAGAACCAAATAATCACTAGTCGTCGCCCGCGACTCCGTCAGTGTAGGCTTATTAAACTTAATTAGTAGCCTATGTATTCTTCCATACTATATTCTATACCTATGCCAAATTTCAGCGAGATCAATACCATTTCTGGAGATACCTTCTAACATAAAAATCCATCCATCCAAACAGCATTTATAATATTAATTATAAGATTTAAATTACAATAAAATCATCTGACGTTGGAATAATCCTTCAACTATTTCTTATATAGACAAAATAATTAAAAGTATTAAAAATCGTATGAAATAAATTAAAAAAGTTAATTTGAAAGGGCGAAAACATACAAAAGGAATTGACCTTTAGGGAGATGACCTCTTTTACTGGTCATTTACTTAAGTGTTACGCATCTAGGTTAACTACGTAATAACAGTAGTGGAATCGGCAGTTTTGCTTACACCCATCAACTTGATTATTTCTACGTATCTAGGATTTTATGATGAAACAGGGAATTTCCAAAACGACTTAGGGTCCTTCAAAAAGCAAGCGTATAACCATCTCAAGTCCTACCGGACTACCAGAGGAACTGCAAATGCATTACCATGCATTTGCAGTTCCTCTGGTAATATAGATGTTCATAGTCGTCGATGGACACTTTGGTGTTCCAGTTTGTCGTTCACCGCCTTCCTTATAAAAAAAAAAAAACAATCCGTAACATCTACCCAAAAAAAATCTTTTGTATCCCAACTACTCTTATTAATTTAAACAGGAATACGTATTTTCAAATTAATTGCAATTTATAATTTGGTAATACTAATCACCTGAGAAATTATCACGGCATAACTTGAAGATTGACATTGGCATCGCAGTTGTCAATGTGTCGAAATAGGCAATTACGATTGGAATCACGTACCGAAGCGAGCCGACACTATCTGTCTGACTGACAGTGACAATCAATCTTAACGATGTATCGGGGATTTCCCGTGCTCCTATTTCATGTGTAAAAACTATGACCAAGCACTGATTGCCTAAATTTTACAACTGGTGAAATATTTGACAAGTATACATTCGCTTTTTTCTTCAAGCTTTACTTTAGTTATCTTACCAATATTATAAATAAGAATTTTTGGATGGATGGATATTTGTAAGAAGGTATCACGGGAACGGCTCAACGGATCTTGATGACAATTTGACACAGATGTAGAACATAGTCTGGAAGAACACCACGGCTACTTAGTGTTTTTTTTCTAGCCATTATGAAATAAGTCAAGAAGCAATAGCCTTTGTCTTGGTAACCATAATCTTGATTTAAGCAACATTCGTCTATAGTATACCCTCTAGATGGGTTTATGCTGTCGGCAGCTTTTGTAAAAGAAAAATAATTTATAGAAAATGCTTAAACTTTTAATAGAATTTTATCTAACTATCGACAACGAAACTAATTTGTTCCTGCCCTCCAATGAAACTAATTAAACGGTGATCTCAATTATTTAGGGATAACGAGCTGATCTCATTAATTTAGAAAAAAGAATAAAAGTAAAAGTTAATCCTAAAGTCTTTTTTATCAGAAAAATATACTATTTACACAAAGAAAACTGATTAAAGATCATTTTGTACTGTCTTTATATTCATTTTTCTTATTAAAATTTATGTATTATACATGTAGTTTTCTAAAAGTAAATCAAAAACATCTCCTTTCTAATGAACTTTTGATTGGACCGATTTATTTAGACAATTTTAAGTCACGTCAAAGCTAAGGATTAGGATGAAATAGAAATGAGACACGGACGTATGTTCAAGAATACTTTAGTAGATCAGTCTGTTACATGAAGACTGATTCATCGTTGATATACAACCTTATTAATGGGGAATAAAGTCCAGAATTGTCGAATTATAATTGTTATTACTGTATTTAAGGACACTGTTTTACGGAAGGTCTGACATTAGTATCAGACTGCGCTATCTGGGGATTTGCGCCGTGCGAGGGTAACAGACAAACAAATACTCAAAAGTAAACGTACTATTGCAAATTAAATATTTAGTTACGTTTACTTGGATGTCTAAAATGCTTTCGTAAGCCTGTTTAGTTAGGGAGTAAGTTATAACAAAATTAGTATGTAAAGACGTGGTCAGAAATTGTGTAATTTCCTTGCTTGAAATGTATTAGACTTAGACATGTTACTAATATTAATGTTTCGATGGATAGATGTTTGTTACTAGGTATCTCCAAAACGACTAAACGGATCACAATGAAATTTTGTACAGTTGTAGAGTAATTTTATACTTTGAACACAACATGCAAACATATTTAAAAAGTTTTTAATTAGCAATGTTTCTCTACACTTCCAAACCATAGTTCATTGCATATCCAACTCTGATGGATTCTTGCTATTTTTCTGCAGAGGCGCAATGCAATACGTAACTACTCTTGCATACATCTCTAGCTGCCGTCATATCTGACCTTAGTTTCTTCTTACACTGATCCTCTAATTGTTAAAAAAACTAATTCTTTGTCATTAAAAATCTTGAAGTATTTAAAAAGAGTTTTTATTAAACAATGATACTATTTTAAAGATGCGCACAAACTTTAAATTGGATTACTATGCAAGTAGAGCACGTCGTTAAACGCCCCACGTAGGATGTTTCAATTTAACTTTTTGTTGCTCGACTGCACTGCACTGTGGGACTCGACAAAGTAAGAACTAGCTTTACGGCTTTCGCTTCATGTAACCGACTTT